CAAAATTTTGTACATAAATTACTGTGTGTAATAACTATTTGTAATAACTTATTTTAAATTGTATTGTTGTTTGTATATTAAAACATATTTGTATTAAAAAAGAAAACTGTGTGTATCAATCTTGTTGGCAAATATCATAATATGGATATATATCAGCATTTATTTAACTCTTAAGTCTAAATTACAATTTAATTCAGTTTTAGACCATTTGAAATTGTAATATGTAACACAAAACATTAGTAATTCTTTCCTAAATACTTGTATACACAGCCTAAAAACAGAAAGATACATGACACATTTCATAGAAAATATGCTACGCAAACAAAATCAAATGCATAAAGAAACACTTTTATTCTAGGTGGAAGGTAATCCCACAAGGGTAAAAGTAATTAACTTTAAAAACAAACAAATTGAAAATAAATACAAGTCTTAACGGATAAATATTTTACCTGCATTTAGGCACCTTGCGTTCAGTGATGCTACAGTTAGCATTATTCTTGCAGAAATAACTGGGACACTCTAAAACAATCAATACATATTAGAATAACTCTGTATTAGAGAGTTATTATAATATTAAGTATTTCTCCTTAGTGGAAAAAAAACAACAGAAAACATACACATCTTCAATATACAAATACCTAAAGAGTTTATTAAAAAACTTAGTTAAAACAACATTTGAAAGTACACAATACATTTAACTGAGTTTTTTAATAAACTTCTTTACAGAAAGGGTCGTGTTCTTATTGTTTTTACTATTTTTATTTAACTGAAGAGTTATTTGCAAAGTTATTTCTGAATAAAAATTTCTTTCCATACAATGAAAACATCTTCCATCACACCATGGTATGAAACTATTTCTCTTTATCTATATACACCGAAGATCACACTATTGTTTACTTTATCAACAAGTTCCATAATTTGTTATACAAACTAGATACAAGATTGCTAGTATTAATAGTAGTACTCAAATGAATGCATAAGTATTTTTCTATGATTTTATGGAAATGTTGGGAATCACAACTATGTTTGTAATTTTCAACCACACCTAAATAATATTTCCCTAAAACTTGTGGCTTGCATAAAATTAACATACAAATATTTAAGGACAATTTAAAAAAAAAGAAGGCAAATATTTCTTAGAGTTGTAATCTTTTCTACATGAGATAAACATTAATCTGTAGAAGTTTCGATGATACAGGCCTGTGATGGTTTTATTGTTTTGAAATTTTTACATGTTCTACAGTAATTCCTGTTCCCTGAATCCACAAATAATATCCATTTTTCTACATTACATACAGAGTTTTCACAAAATGTCATGTGCTTTTACATAAGTGAATCATTTTCATTGAAATCGGGTCATATTTTGTTATGCTTGAAATATCGCCAACCACTGGCTATAGATTTCTCTAGACCAATCACGACGTGAGAGTCTTAGCAACCATTCTAGAACTCACGAGAAACACACCACATGACATGTCATTTCTGGATTTGGTGGGCGATTTGGGCCTTCCAAAGGATTCTTCAGAGATTTTGGGGTCCAGAATTTGGGCTAAGAACTTACTTTCTCCAGGGACATCATTTTACTTCTATAAAAATCATGAGAAAGTTTATACCATACTTTTAACAAGAAGATTCACTGGTTTATTGCAACAATTTTGCAGTTAATACCAATGCTAGGAGCTGCAATCTATGAACCAAGTGAGTGGTGATTGTTCATTGATTCCTCCGAAAGAAGTCTAAAAGGTGTTCTCCTTCACAATGGTAACATACATTCATTTGTTCCTATTGCTCATTCAGTTCACTTGAAGGAAATGTATGAGAATCTCAAACTTCTTCTTAATAAGGTCAAATATAAAGAACATGGTTGGCTACTTTGTGGAGACTTAAAAGTCCTTTGTATGTTGTTGGGTCAACAATCTGGTTATACAAAGTTTCCATGTTTTTTTGTGTGAATGAGACAGTAGAGTATGAAATCAGCACTGGATAAAGAAGTAATAGCCACACAGAGTCAGCCTGATTTCAGGATTGAAAAACATTCAACTTGAAAGTTTGGTTAACACCTAGAAAGTCCTATTACCTCCACTTCACATAAAATTGGACTTCATGAAGCAATTTGTAAAGGCCTTAGACAAATATGGCAACTTTTTCAAGTATCTATGAGGGCAATTCCCAGCTCTTTCAAAAGCGAAACTTAAAGAAGGGATTTCTGTTGGGCCTCAGATTAGGAAATTGACTTCGGATGAACAGTTCAAAATAACAATGAGGAAAGTTGAGAAAGAAGCATGGACTGCCTTTAAAGATGTTATTGACAGTTTTTTTAGGAATCAACAAGGACCCAAATTACGAAACTATTGTCAATAACATGCTCTATAAATTCAAAGAGTTTGAAAGTTAATTTCTTACACTAATATATTGACTATTTCCCTGAAAATCTCGGTGCCATCAGCAAAGAACAGGGGAAAAGGTTTCATCAAGACATCAGGGAAGTGGAGAGGAGGTATCAGGGAATGTGGAACATCAGCATGATGGCTGATTACTGCTGGTCATTGAAACAAGATGCAATACATAAAAGAAAGACCACAACACGTAGTTTTCAGACTAAAAGATGTAGATTTCACAAAAATAAATGAGGATGTATATTCACTTGACATCAATTTTCTTCCCTTTTGTTTGTATTTTTGTTAACAAATATAATAATAAAAAATTTTCTTTGTGGTAAACGATATAATAATTTGATCTCAGTAAGTTTTTTTTTCCTTCCCGATTTGTAAAAAATCCTTACGTGATAGAAAAAAATGAATATTATTTTCAAAATCTGTTATTAAAAATTAAAAGCAAAACAACTTTATGAAGTTTAAATTCATAGACCAGTGTAATCATTTTAAACTGTTTTTAAAAATTCAGCTTTTATAGGATTTCCCAGTAGAGTTCCAATAGATAATTAACCCTAAAATTCTTGTACAAGTGCTTAATGAGCTTTAAATAATTTCTGAACAGCAATCTTAAAAAAAGCTGTTCAAAAGCAAACTTGCAAGAAAGTTTTTATAGTGGTATTCCTGTCATAAATAACTACCTTGGTTAGAAACGTGTTAAGAATGATGATTTTAAATCGATGTCTTTTCTAAAACATTATAAAAAAAAATCATAAATTAAAATCCTCTTCATCCTAAGAATCGCACCAAATGATAAATAATGTTTAATTCTAAGAAACAACTTGCCTTTAATGGAACTCATTTGTGCTAATTATGTAACTACAAATACAGGTCATGTTTAACTCTAGCATTATAAAATTTTATAGATATTGAAAAAAACATTACATTTAAAGTTGAAAGTAATGATAATATATCTACAAAAATCAATGTTTCATTATTTACCTTCTACACACAAGCTCTCGTCGGACGAATCACTACAGTCATTTTTTCCATCACATAGCTGATTTTCAGCCACACATGGAGGATAAGACTTGTCTTTACAGAAATAATAGCCTTCATCACATGGAGGTAAAGCAGCTGTGAAGTAACAATTAAGACTGTATAACTGAAGCATTTCTGTTTAGATTAAATCAGTGAAATGTATAAATAACTAAAATAAAATATTATTTATTTTGGAATTAAAGATAGAGAAGTTTTAGTAAGACAGAATTATAAGTAACCAGGAATGTCGAGAGCCAGCACAGGCCACAGGGGCAAACATCCTCGCCAGGCCCCTTTTCACTCTCTCTTTTTTAACATTTTCAAGAATTTATTAAAAAGAAGATCCTAAATTAGGGCAGCAACGAGCTCATAAACCAGACTAAATCATAGCAGCAGCCATTTTAACCTCACAGTAAAAACGTTAATAAAGTAACAACAAATATCTATTAAATCTATAAAGTAACAAATACATATTAATTATTATTTCAGTCGTTCTTAATGTATCAAGTGTCTATATGCAAAGAAAATCCAAACACTATGGTTTTTATCATTAAATGAAGATATAGCCTAAAGATGCTTTACAGCATAATCAGGTTTCATTCGCCTGGACCCCTAGGCAGTTGCCCCCCTGTCTGTGGGCCTGTAAGTAACCTAGTACTCTAATTCTATTAGTTACTATATTTCTACTGGTTAGATCGAGATTTGAAACAAAATGTTTAAAAATGACAAGTATAACGTTTGCATACTTTGAAAATTAAAGGTATCATTTCTCATGGTGCAATTCACCGAATTATTTATATACAACTTTACCCATTTTTACATTCAAAAGTACAATAACAATGCAAAGTTTTATTAACACGCTTTGTTAGAATGAAGTTTGCCATCTGTGCAGATAAAATCCAAACTTAATGTTTTTTTGATGGAACTTTCCATCTGCACAAATAAAACTGAAACTTAATGATGTTTAAAGAAACTTTCTATCTGCACTGATAAAACCCACACTTAATGCTGTTTGATGGACCTTTCCATCCATACTTATACTATTTAATTGAAATTTCCACCAGCAAAGATAAAATCCATTTTTTAATGTTTTTAATCAAACTTTCCAGCTACACAGATAAAACCCACACTTAAAGCTTTTAATGGAACTTCCCATTTGCATAGATAAAACTCACACTTAATGCTTTAAGTGAAACTTTCTATCTACACAGATAAAACCCAAACCTAATGTTGTTTCATAGAACTTTCTATCTGCACAGATAGACCCAATCTTACTGCTATAAACATAACTTTCCATCTACACAGATAAAACCCACACTTAATGCTCTTTAACTGAACTTTTCATCTGCACAGACAATATCCACACTTAATGCTGTTTAATAAAATTTAGATAAAATGAAAACACTGTAATTTACAATATTATACAAAAACAAAATGTAGAAGTTCTTAATTTCCACATCCTAATCGGTTACACTGAAACATTATATCTAATTTCTTGTATTAATACTTTTTTAAGGATAAGCAGTAAAATTTACAGGCTTACAAAGGCAAAAAAATGTTTAAAGGATTGCTAGTTTTATTGATATAACTCATCAGTTTTATAATTAATTTAACTGCTTAAACAAGGAAATCAAATCTGAAGACTAAAAAACAGTACGTTTTCTGTTTAACTTTTTTTTATTCAACAAATTAAAACAAGCTTATTAGTTAGTATTTCAAAAATGGGTTAATCATAGAACATTTTAACTAATACTATTTGTTTCACAAGTTGTTTATTATCAATTTATGTAAAATCTAACTAACTTTATAAACGTTTTGTAAAACAGTTATTAGATGTTACAGTTTTTTAGCTACCCAATAAATCTGCTTACAAATACGTTTACAATGGTGTGTCATAACTACACAGTTTCAACTCTACAACTACATATTTGTAAAAGTCGCCACTCATTTTTTTAAAACTATTTTAAAATTTTGAGAACTTTAATGGTCTGCAACTGCCTGTTGAAAGAAAAGAAGATGATGTTTCAGCTTCTATACAGAGGTCTGAAGGAGGCCCCAGTATCGAAGCCAGACTGTCATCTCCTTTTCTTTAAATAGGCAGTTGCAGTCCATTAAATTTCTCAAACTCACTATTTCTATTTTGCCTAAAGCTCCACTGAAATAAAAACATATAAAATTAGCTTCCACATAAATATGTTATCCATTAAACAACCACAAAACAGCAAACAATTCTATGAGTTTAAATAAATCATACAAATATATATGAATCCTCATTTTCCTTGCATCTTTTATTAACAATTCAATATTTTCAAAGAATTTTGCAAAAAGTCACTAAATACTGTAAGGAACCAAGCAAAGCCTACTGGAAAGCATTTAAGCTATCAGAGGAAAACAATGTGTAGGTAAAGGGTTGAACCCCTTTTTTCCTTGACATCTCAATCTAAAGGACATTTCACAAACTTTTAGGAAATATTGTTAAAAAGAAACCACAAAATCTTAATATACTTAATGACATTCCTAAGTTTACAGGGGTAGAGAGTTTGTTGGTAACTAGGTCAATTTCTTTATCACAGTTTGATGAGAAGCCAGTTCGTTGCATGTCAATGAAAAAAACTCTTGCCTGCAGATTGTCATTTCATAGTTATTAATTTATTGAAGTTATTGGTAAAATTAGGGCATTAAAAATGAATGAGATAAATATTTTCCCACCCAGTTATCATTTAATCAATTACCATGAGAAGAGATTAGATTTGTTATATATAGTGGTTTATAGCTTCTTATACACACTCAAAGGCTTAATGTACATAAACATTTACTTAAAAAACTATAATAAAAACATAAGATCAACTTAAATTTATTATAGTTGAGCTTTAATAAGGCTTATCTTGAAATTATGACATGCTCATTACTTTAACTGTTATCAAATATGAAAAAAATATTTTAAATTTTAATGAGTATAATAAAGCAATGCTGTATAGACTTGTAGCTTTTTTAATGTGAGACTGAGATGTATAAGAAATTGAGTTGTTCACTGCATCTTAAGTAAAAATAGTAAGGAATACAAAATACTAATTACAGTAATAACTATTTACATTATTTTTTTGTTTTTGGATATGTATTTCTCATGAGCAAATATTTATCTTATTCCTTCTCTGATAATACTATTTCAGTCTGACTTTGGCACAACAGCTAATTCAACTGAATAACTTACAAACAAAACATGTAATAGCTTAATCAACAAATAAACTGTAGATATTTACAAAAATTATGTAGTTCAATCAATAATAAAACCTTTAACTATTTACAAAAGTTAATTAGCTCAATCAATAAAAGAACCTTTAGCTATTTACAACTTAACATTACATATGATTAAGCATTTATTTTTATTTCATAACTGCACCTTTTACAAAAAGAAAGGAAAATACTTACGGCATCCATACTTTTCATCTATCCCTTTAGGACAGTCAGGTACACCATCGCACAAAAGGATAGCCGGAATACAAGTATCCTCAGTATCATTACAGTGGACCCATCCTGATGAACAGTTTTTTTGAGGAGGCAGTGTACCAGGATGAGAGGTTACAGTTGGTGGAGATATGGATACAGATCTTGTAGCTAAAAATAGAAATTATCGTCACAGAAGAAATGTAATTTTTTCATCAGAAACTCTAACTACTATGTTTGATGTGAATTTCATTATGTATTGGCTCTAGTTAGGTTAATGTTGTATAAAGGTAATGTACATGTATGTATCTATAGATTCACTACCTATTGGTTCGTAAGCTAGTTACATATCGATTAGAAATAACTAGGTCAGCATTTCTCAGTGTATGAGCTCTTTTCAGGTAGTTTGTGGATAGGCTACATAATTATAGAAAAAAAAACATCAGTACAGTGTATATATCCTACTGTGGTTTGATAAGTAAAAAATTCAGATGATTCACAAAAGATAACTTTTGAGAACCACTGAACAAGATTACTTATGTATACAGATTGTGCATTAACTATTGGCTATAGTTGTACTGTTTTTGTATACAAATATTAGAATTTAACTTCTGGATTTGGCCACAGTTTTATTGTTTACAGGTCATATGTTAACAAGTACCTCAAGATTTAATGCTTGCTTACAAAGATGATCTGTTAACCAGAGGGTCTTGCTACACAGTTCATACTTTATTTGTTAACAGTAACGAACACAAAAAACTTGTAAATATTAACTGTTGATCTCTTACAAGCAATAGTTAGGTGGTCAAGAAATTGTTACATCTACAAAAAAGTATTTGTTTTGTAGTTTCATACATGCAAATAAAATATAGATTTTTATGTAATATCAGTACCAAGTAAAGCCTGCAAAAAATTGTGAAATATCTTCTTTACTCTGTGGAGTAAAAATATGGAATATATTATTCATAAGAAAAATAACACTGTTTCTCACCTCCAGTGGACAAACATGAAATACCTGTAATGAAAAAAAAAAAACTTGTAAGTTACTTAAATGTTGTAAGTGGCTTCATCTAAACCTAATTCTATGTACAAAATAACACAATCAAGAAGTTAGTTGTAATAAATTTTAAGGAAAACCAAGCATATGTGAACAAATTTCCTTTGGAATACTGTTGCTATTGTAGGCTAAAGGTCTCAGTTTGTAAACCAACATGTTCAGAAGCTTGTGTACATGTACACTGAGTGGTCACAAGTAAATAGACACCTAATTTTTCGTCAGTTAACTGATTCATGCTAACTAATTTGTGTTCACAGAGCACTATATAAATGAAAATGGTCCACACACTAATTATCTTGTGCTAAAACATGCCTAGAACTCAAGGTTCTCTCAATTTGTCAGATTTTGTTAGAGAAAGGATAGTTGGTCAAGCAGATGGTGGAATAAGTCAGAGGCAAATTTCGCAGAATTTGTGAGTCCCGCTTTTGACAGTCAACAGAATCATCATGCAGTTCAGGAAACATGGCAAGGAAACAACTGAGCAGCGTCC